TCCTCCATTAGATTAATAATAGCAGTTTTAGAAGCTGCTAAAACTTATCTCAATGCTTTCGATATTATTTAATTCAAAAGGACTTGGATAGAATTTTTCAAAATTAGCACTGATGTTAGTTTGGTTTAAAAACATAAGTTTTGTTGAAGTAAAAGTAGTATTAAATTTGATTTTCTGGCACTTAAGTCTCACTGATTCAATTATCATATTTTGACCTTATTCTGTGTAGATTAATTGATTTTTATATATCCCTTCAATATCAACTGAAGTTAATGTAAAAGATTTAAAATCCTGAAGATAGATAAGCGTGCTTGAATCATTGGTATCTAAGAATGTGAAGCTGCATTTATCAATTGCAATATTTGCATTTTCAGATTAACTTTGAATAAGTCTTTCATTAATTTGCAAATTATAATCAGCTGATAACCAAGATAAGTTTCTCATATTCAATGTGAAATTATTCTGTATTAATACAATATTTATATCTGAAGTTATATTTGACTTGTCTATAAACAATAATGATCCATCAAGAGCAAGTAGATTTTCAAAAACTGAATTTTAAATATTAATGGATGACAATGATAGGTTTTAACTAAGATAAATAAAACCTCCATTAGTTGTACTATATATGCTTTTAACATTGACATTATCTATTTAAATTGATTGGGAACCTTAAATGAGGTTGATGATTCCAGATTTTTAGCTGTAAATTTCTGAAATGTTGCTGGTCTTTATTTCGATTGATAAAAATGCATCAATTTCCTATATCAGTATCCCATTAATTCCCATTAACTAATGAAATTTTGATTTTTCAATAAAAATAGAATGACAATTATCAAGGCAAATTTCTGATTTTACTTTTGAAGTTAGAGAATTGATTTATTAGCTAGATTATTCATAAGAACCAATTATGCTACCACATGAATAAATGTTTTCAAAAGTGGAATTAATTATCTAAACCTGGCCACCGTATTTATTTAGCTCAATAAGTGCCCTAAAGCTGTACAAGAAGTTTTTAAAGGTTACATTCTAAATTTTTTAGAATATCAAATTAATTCTTACCTCTAATTATAGTTAAGGTGGAGATTGCAGCATAGAATTAGAGCTTATATCAAACTATATAAATTAATCATAATCCAATATATATCAATTAATAATTACTTTAATGAGCGAACCAAACTATAACTAATCTCTGTTTAAGCAATCTAAAGTATCTAATAAACTTGATCCTGCTTGTCCTGAATGCATAATTTGACAAAATTGGGCTCCAGTTAGAACTTTACTTTACTGAATTTCATTATAAGCAAAGCTACAGCAAGATGAATTAGTAGAAAGTAAGCATTAATAGCTATCATTATTAAGGGAATTCAAGTTAATATTATCCTCTCGGATATCTAATATCGAATCAATGGCATCAAATTCAATATTCCTGATAGTTAAGCCAGCTCCTACAAGGAATTAAAATTTATCTCTCAATTTGTAATAAACTTTCACTGGAGCTGAGTTCACTGTATCTATAATAATCTTTATCGATTAAGCATTCTTATCTATATTTCTATAATTCAGCAGGAATTAAGATGTTTTTGCAAAATCATATCTTTGCATGGAATGATCTCGATCAGAAAACAGCAAGATCGATATATTTGCTGACTTATAAGGTGATCCTATTTCATATGAAAATGTTAGAGCTTCAAGTATTGATATAAAAGGGTATTCTACTGTCCCATTAGCAGAATAATCATTGCTAAAGTCCTTAGATTAAACATAGATAGTCTACTCAAGCAATCCATTCTTCTATTTGCATGTCTTAGTTAATGAATCAAGATAAAATCCTTCCTTGCAAGATGTGCATTGAGTTTCTGATGAGGAGCATTCATAGCATGATGAATCACAGTTCAAACATAGAGTTTATTCAATCATTCCTAGATAGCCCAGTGTAACATTTCCATATCTCCCTAGTCCACAGCTACTTACACATTATCCTGTTTATAGGTCAACGAAACCTCCAAGGCATGAAGTGATTTTCTTCTAAATAACGTTAGAAGTTGATTATTCTATTTCAAACTCACACCTTAGAGTTTTAATTTAGGCCCCATTCTACTAATTGCATTCTAAAGTTTAAAATTAATTCTCAATTTTTAAATTTTTACTTTGACAAAATTTCTTATCTCCTATTTAATAAGTATTATATCCATAAATGCAGGTATCACAAACAAATTCTGAGCTTGACTGAAGACAAAGGTCTGGCTAAGCATCTAAATATAAAGCTTTTATTTCTATTTTTACTTACTTGGTTGGCAAATATCTTAGTGTCTGTTGGCTGAGATATTAAAATAACTACTTTTAGACAAGTAGAAGCCTTCATGGCATACCAAACAATTAAATTGATCATAGTAATTATAAATATGGCAATTAGTGATAAAACTCAAAGATGATGAAGTCTAAGGTTCTAAAAAGTTTAAGTGATTGAAATTATACAGCAAGGATATTTTAAATCTCCAATAGCAAGAGACTTTTGATTAATCGGATCATTGCATTCGATGCAGTGAGTTATATTGGAGGCCTGGCAATTTAGACATTCAAAAGAGGATTCGCATCCTTATAAAATTAAATATTAGAATTGTATAATACTCTGGCAAGTTTTGAAATTTGGTAGGAAGGGTTCGATTTCGGTTGTTAATGCACTTATCCAGCCATTGTTAGTTGCTTCTCCTTGACAAGATAAACATCCAATGAGACTATCACAGTGTGAGCATAATAATCCACAGTCTAGGTAAAACATTTTAAATCTATAAATTTACTATTGCAACTTGAATTGAAATAATTGTTTGAAAAAGATTTGTGAGCTTGACTGCATTCAGGAACACATTTTTGAAACATACTAGATAGATTTCCTACTGTCTGATTTTATGTTAGCAGAAAAAGTCCATTGTCGCATTAATCACATTCAAGTATCTTCATATCAATATCGAGATGGCATTTTTGACATCCATTTAAAACATTAGAGCAACCTATAAAGGTCATGATTTAAGTGATAATCTTACGAAGGCAAGTATTCAATTCAGAGTCAAAGAACTCGTATTCTTAGCCTGAAATAAATTTGTAGAATATTATGTCTTACAATTAAATCCATTCAATGATCATATGTAAAGCATGATAATGATGCTAAAAATGAACATCTTCAAAACTATCATAGAAAGGAAAATTTAATTTTAGGTTTTATTAGTTTAATAAATGTAAATGATTTTTAACTTGAGAAATAAATTTCTTAATTTTTTTAGATTTAGATTAACGGAATTATCTTATCTTTTGGGGTTTTGGGGTTTTGGGGTTTTGGGGTTTTGGGG